TAGACTGGATCTGTACATTTTAGATAACTGTTTCAAACAAAACAAATGTATTGAAAACAAAATTAAAATTTACGAAGTGTGAACCACAACATGATAGTTAATGGAATGGAAAAAGTAATTTCAGAGGTTGGGTAAGTTATATTAAAACTATTCCGGCGACCGTGCATCTTCCCAATAGCCCTGCAGCGTAGTTCCCATTAGAAAAGGCTCCGACGAAAGTTGTCATGTCCAAAGTACACATCGCTTCCCTGTAATTTTTCAATAATCCATCTAGTGTATGAAGACTATGGTTTGCCAGTACCCATTTTAACATTCCTAATGCACAGTAATCCACAGGCGACTTCTGTTGCTTTTCTAGACGGAGAACTTTTTTTGTTATGTTGCGTACTGTTGCCTAGAACATGTAAATGACTTTTGTCATTGATTCTGTGTTCGTTGATTCTCACCTTTATAAAATATCGCATTTTTTATTACGGTTGTAGTTGGACTTGTTGTAGATCTCTTTCTAGATGGTCTTGGGACGCAGGTTGATCCATATTCATTTGTTTTGCAATGTCATTACGGAAAATTCTAAATCTCTTATTTGAACGCTGTGTTTATTTATTTATTATTAAGCACAAAGCTACACATTGGGCTATCTGTGCTATGTCCACCACGAGTATAGAAGCCTAATATTTAGAATTATAAACTGGGTAGGCCTACCTGAACACATCTTTATTATCTTAGTGTATGAACAACTTGCGTTGAAAAGGGCTGTTACAAAACCTTCTCAAAATCGATCATTTTTCGGTGGCTTCACACTACCTATGCAATGACAAACAATGTCAAAGAGTAATTCTGATGTTTGTCGTTCCATCGCAGCTTTGTATCGGCTGTAGTTGTCACGTGACTTACTGATTTGGATTTCCAAAATCGTGCTAATATAACGCACCCAACACTACAGTGCTTAGTCTGGTCCAGTTTTGAAACACCTTAAATCAGGGGTGAAATTCTGCCGATACTCACCGGTATTAGGACCAGTATTTATTTTTTAAGTCGGTACTAGTACCGGGACTTATTTGAGCTTTTTGTCGTTTTTTATGCTTATACGTAGATTTTTTTCTTTTTCAAAAATAGGTCCACTTCACCCAGCTGATTGCCTCTACTTTCTTTTTTTTTGAGAATTTCACCCTTGCCTCAAATTATCCTTTCGGAATAATATTCCCCTTTCTGTCCATGTTCAAAACAAGTCTTAGTAATCAGTTTTCAAAATCTTTTAATTAATGAAATTAGGCGCAGATATAATTGTGTAAAAGAGTTAAAGCTTACAATCAAGTACATCATGTAAAACGTTTGTTTTTCATAGCACTTCAGCTTCAACTGAAATTAACGATCACCACACTAACTTAAATGCGTGCGTTGTATGTACAAATTCGTTTTGTAAGAGCAGGCTAAGCAGATTATAACTTGTGAAGCTCATTAAGAATGCTATTATACATACTTCCCTGCACCTTAAGTGGTATCGATTAGTGTTTTTGTCTAAATATGTTAGCTGTGCGTTTCACAAACACACGATTCGATTTGAATTTTTAAATAGATGCTCGTAGAATACACGTTTCTGCATTCATTTTGGACTTTTTGTTTGGTTTCTTTCTTTCAGAATTTCGCGCAGAGCTACACAGGAGCTATCTGCGCATAACCGTTCCTGGTTTGGAACTAACAGAGCAGAGGGAAAGCAGCCAGTTAACAGAACCTACTGCTAACTCTTGTCTGGTTGAAAAGCGGGAATTTATTGCCACTCTTATTGTGCACCCACGGCTACAAAGTGCATACTTACATCAACGGATAACGAACTATCAATCTTTGGATTCACAGTCCGGGAATGTTAATCACTAAGTCACTTGTTTTGGAGTAAACTCTTATCTTCAAAACAGATCGGCTGACTCCTTTATTTTTATTTATTTGTAACGCACAACAATATCGACGTGAAAAAAAAAAAATCGACATATTTTAACACCATGGATGACGAGGCTGGTTTAGTTTGATATCCCGCTTTTTACCCAAATCCATATGTTCATCGAATCACAAAGAAGAAAGTAAGAGTATCGGGAATCACTCAGCTAAGACTTAGAAATGAAGTTTTAGTCAGTACCTGCAACTTTTAATATGACGGGAAAATGGCGTTGAGGCTGAGAACAACTAAACATTCATTAAGCACAGTTCGTCCATCTCCCCGTGATTTTCGGGGCCTGGCATGGCCTGGTAGTTAGGGCACTCGACTCGAAATCTGTGCGTCGCGGGTTCGAATCCCCCGCCACCGAACATGCTTCCCCCTTTTAGCTGTGACAGTAACTCCCACTGTTCGTTGGTAAAAGAGTAGCTCAAGAGTTTGCGGTGGGTGGTGTTGACTAACTGCCTTTCGTCTAGTTTATCACTACTAAATTAGGGACGGCTAGCGCAGATAGCCCTTGTGTAGCTTTACGAGAAAATTCTAAACAAACCAAAACCGTGATTTTCACCATAACTGTTCTATAAAATGTAGATGTGGTTTTGGGAATTCAGTTGTTTTTATGGCATCAATTTTCAGGACGTGTTGTCCAACACGGTGGTAGCCATCTGGTGCTAGGTCAGGAAGATATGCTAGATTTAATGAAGTCCATTTTATCATTTCTTAATTGTAGGAGTTACAGAAGTTTGTTCAAAGCCATTGCCGCTCGCAGTGACATATTTTATAATTATGATCCATGTTACCAGTTGTGGCAACACATAGCATACGACGCCACTGGTAGCGGATGTGTAATAACATATTAAACTCAGTTATTTGTTAGCCAACGGGTGGAAAACACAATTCAATATGAGCTAGAAGCAAAGCCAAGGAAGTGATAAGATTTTAAAATAGTATCAAATGCTCTAGAATTTCTAGTATTTTCTAATTTTCAATAAAATGGGAAAGAAGAGATGAGAATCTATTTCTGTATTCGCGTTTCTTAAACACGTAAAGCAAATTGTGCGAGTAATATTGTTGTAATGAACTGGAATTTAGATCAGTGCTTTTATGTGTGCTAGCAATAAAATTTCAGGTTTAAAAATTATTGATTGGTTGAATATTTAACATAGCCCACTATAGAATTTGTGGACATTTATACCTACATGTGTATTAATTAGTACGTTGGGATTTATAGATGAAAAGCTACACGTTTCCAAGCGACATTTAAAGCTACATGTGTATTAATTAGTACGTTGGGATTTATAGATGAAAAGCTACACGTTTCCAAGCGACATTTATACCTATATGTGTATTAATTAGTACGTTGGAATTTATAGATGAAAAGCCACACGTTTCTAAGCGACATTTATATTTCCTTTGGGAAAGCATTTGAAAGCACAGGATACTACTCAATGTGATCATTAGTTTGAAATGTAGCTTCTGATTTAAGCATTACTCGATACTAATATGACTGGTTTCGGAGTAAAAATACATGATTTTTTTTTGTAATAATCAGCACCTTGAGATGTCGATGACTTAAGAGTAT